CTGCAGTGGAAGCCGTGGGGCTGCTTGGGATTTGAAGCTGCTTCTGGCTTTAGAGGGGTCTTTAGGTTTGGGAAAATCACCTTCTGGGCATAAAGGATCACCTCTGGCTTAGCTAATGTTAATAAGCTGAAGCTCCTAACCAGCCCCCATTGATGAGCGCCCAGGCCAAGCCCTTGGCTTGCGTGTGCTCTCTTATCTTCCCTTGGTGAGGCAGAGCAGGGTTTTCTGGCTGATGTTTCTGTCAGCAGGCAGTCACTGGCCCACTCTGCTGCACAGGCCCCCGGTGAGCTCTTGTGAGGTCCACTCTGCAGCATAGGTGCCGTGTGAGCACTGTGTCCTTTACTTTGGGGTCTTATTCTTTCACCAGCATTCCTGTTTCACAGGGGTTAATTTTTTTTTTTTTTTTTTTTTTTTTTGTGAGACGGTTTCTCTGTAGCCCTGGCTGTCCTGGAGCTTGTTCTGTAGACAGGGCTGGCCTAGAACTCAGAGATCCACCTGCCTTTGTCTCCCAAATACTGGGACTAAAGGTGTTCGCCACCATGGTCTGGCTCGTATGGGTTAATTGCTTAGTAAAAACAATAATGGTGGGGGAATGCTGCCCACACCTGTGCACAGCCCTGGCAGAGGGTTGGAGAGGGCTGTTGCACAGCCCAGAGTTGTGTTTTTTTTTCTTTTTCTTTTCTTTTGGTTTTTCGAGACAGGGTTTCTCTATGTAGTTTTGGTGCCTGTCCTGAATCTCACTCTGTAGACCAGGTTGGCCTCGAACTCACAGAGATCCGCCTGGCTCTGCCTCCCGACTGCTGGGATTAAAGGCGTGCACCACCATCACCACCACCCAGCAGAGCTGTTTTTATAATATCCAAATATCACTAATTTTTTCCCACTTTTATTTTTTATTTTATTTTATTTTGGTTTTTCAAGTCAGGGTTCCTCTGCGTAGCTTTGCGCCTTTCCTGAATCTCGCTCTGTAGACCAGGCTGGCCTCAAACTCACAGAGATCCGCCTGTCTCTGCCTCCCGAGTGCTGGGATTAAAGGCGCGCGCCACCACCGCCCGGCCCACTTTTATTTTTTAACAGTCTCATATCTCAGGCTGTCTTCCAACTCACTGTCTGTAGCTGAGGATAACCCTGAACTTCTGATCCTCCTGCCTGAGCCTCCCTGATGCTAAGATTGGAGCTGCATCCCTCCTCATTCTAAGTGGGCAGAACAGTTGCCTGGCAGCCGTCTGGTGCATGATTAGTTTCCGGTGGTTGTTTTGGTACTGGGCTTTGAACCTAGGGCTCTGCACATGATGAGCCAGCGCTGTAACAGGCTGCAAAGACAAGAGAAGCCAGCTTCTTCCCGTCAGGTCAGCCACTGAAGAGATTTGCTAAAAATGATGACTTTCTTGCTGGTGACTTTTTGTTCACTTTGCAGGTAGACTCTGTTAACATGCATTCGATTTTTATGTGTCAATAAACTTTCCTCATTAAAAAAAAAACAACACAGATTTCCAAACCCACTTTTCTTACTTGTTAGCTGTGTCTGACGTAGGGTATAATTGAATGTTTTTGCTCATGTAAAGTGGGGATGAATTTACTTTGCAGAGTTCTTTGAGGATTAGAGATAATTTTCCAGGGTCCGACCCTACGCTTAGTATAGGTCTTCAATAAATAGCAACTTTTAAAAGCCAAATGTCTAAGATTTCTTACTGTGGAATTCTGAGACTCAACACCCAAAGACGAAAGGCTAGGAAAAGACAGCTATAGCTACTATAAGGAACCTACATAAAACAAAGTGTGTTGGGAATGACGACTTTCATTTAAAGTGTTTACCAGCTTCGGCAGGCCTCTAGTCCGCCCCTTTTGGTTCAGCTGTATCTTTTTAAAAGTAATTTATTTTTATTTTATTTGCATTAGTGCTTTGCCTGCATGTATGTCTATGTGAGAGTGTCAGATCTTGGAGTTAGAGACAGTTGGTAGCTGCCATGTGGGTGCTGGGAATTGAACCCAGGTCCTCTGGAAAAGCAGCCAGTGCTCTTAACCACTGAGCCATCTCTTCAGCCCCGGCTATATCTTTTTTTATAATGTTAACATACATGGCACAGAGTGCTTAGGGCAGCTAAGCCAGTTTCATTCAGCAGAAGTAGTAAGAATGCCCTAGAGTCTTGGCTTTAGATTCTGTTCCAAGACCTCTATTGCTCAAAGGTTACACAGTGTTTTTTGTCCTCTCCACAGCCCAATTTTACAAAAAGATTTATTTCTTATGTATATGAATATTTTGCCTGCATGCATATGCATACCTGTTGACCATGGAGGTCAGAATGCATTGGATCCCTGGAACTGTAGTTATGGATGATTGTGAGCTGTGTCACGTGGGTGCTGGGAACCAAACCTGGGTCCTCTGCAAGAGCAGTAAATGCTCTTTTGTTTGTTTGTTTTTTTGGTTTTTCGAGACAGGGTTTCTCTGTGTAGCTTTGCGCCTTTCCTGGGACTCACTTGGTAGCCCAGGCTGGCCTCGAACTCACAGAGATCCTCCTGGCTCTGCCTCCCGAGTGCTGGGATTAAAGGCGTGCGCCACCACCGCCCGGCCCCAATTTGTTTTTTTGAAAATTCACTTTAATTATGTGTGTTTCTAGGTATATGCAAGTGAGTGCGGTGTCCTGCAGAGGCTGGAAGAGTAGAGGATTCACTAGAGCTGGAGTTGCAGGCAGTTCTGAACCACCCTCCTGGGTGCTGGGAACCAAACCCAGGTCCTCTGAAAGAGCAGCAAGTGCTCTTAACTGCTCAGTCATCTCTCTCTAGCCTCAAAAACCAATTTAGTTAAATTTTATTTTTTATTTTTTTTGGAGCTGAGGACCGAACCCAGGGCCTTGTGCTTGCTAGGCAAGCGCTCTAACACTGAGCTAAATCCCCAACCCCAGAATAACCTTTTTTTAAAAAAAGATTTATTTATTTATTATGTATACAGTGTTCTGTCTGCATGTACCCCTGCAGGCCAGAAGAGGGCACCAGATCTCATTACAGATGGTTGTGAGCCACCATGTGGTTGCTGGGAATTGAACTCAGGACCTCTGGAAGAACAGCTAGTGCTCTTAACCTTTGAGCCATCTCTCCAGCCTAAAATTTTTTTTTTTTTTTTTTTTTTTTTGTTTTTCGAGACAGGGTTTCTCTGTGTAGCTTTGCGCCTTTCCTGAAACTCGCTTTGGAGACCAGGCTGGCCTCGAACTCACAGAGATCCGCCTGGCTCTGCCTCCCGGGTGCTGGGATTAAAGGCGTGCGCCACCACCGCCCGGCAAAATTTTTTTTATATGTATTGGTGTTTTGCATGCATGTATATCTGTCCACCACATGTGTGCCTGGCGGTACCTGGGGAGGCCAGAAGAGGCTATCAGATCCCCTGAAATTGGAATTACATTTGATTGTGAGCCATCAACTAGGTTCTGGGAATCGAACCCAAGTCCTCTGGTACTAGCAGCCAGTACTCTTAACCACTGAGCCATCTCTCTAGCCCCACAAAGCTCAATTTAAACACATACTTAAATGAATACTGATTCCGGATGAACATTTACACTCAAGCTTTGTCTTTTTTTTTTTTCCTGCCAGCATCCTTTCTGCTTCAAAAGTCTACAGTCTACATTGTAACAAAGAATATGTCCCGAAGTGCTTTGGCACCAGTAAGAAACGAAGACAGCTTCGAGTCCTTCTCTGACAAGTCAAGCTGCACAGAAGACTGAGGCCAGGCCAGCTGCCTGGAAGAAGCAGAAACCAGCCAGGCTGCCTGGAAGAGGTTTAGACCAACTGAATCACCCGGAAAGGACACCCTTCAACCTGTTGAGCTGCCTATAGGCTGTGCAGTGTGCTCCAGGTCCCCAGCTCTTGTGAGCTGTCGCCGCTGTTGGGATGGGCCTTGGCGATATAGCTCTCATTGAGTCATTTCTCCTCCTGTAACCCCAATAAAAGTCATTAAGTTCATTAAGTTGAACTTCGGTGCTCTCCATACTTTGGTCTGCTGTGGACTCCCTATCTGTGAGTAGGTATTTCATCTCCCCAGGAAAAGTCTTGTGATACACCAGGTATTACCAACTTAATTAATGAGAAGTGAACTTTATTCTCACCACAGTGGAATATGGAAGGAAGTAAAGGAGGCTAGAAAAGTCGTCAAGAGTCAGCCAGATAATGAAGGAGTCATGGAAGTTTTTGTGCAGTGTGTTAGATGGATATATTCTCTTTTGTTTTATTTTATTTTAGATTTATTCATTTTATTTTGTGTGTGTTTGCCTGCATGTACGTCTGTGCACCAAATGCATGCTTGGTGGTGCCTTTGGAGGTCAGAAGGACTCAAATCCCCTGGTTTCAGAATTACAGATGGTTGTATGCTGGGAACCAAACCCAGGTCCTCTGCAAGAGCAGTAGTGCTGTTAACCACCGAGCCACCTTGCCAGCCCCTGAATATATTATTCTGGAAGCTCATTAGCATGGTAGGATAAAGCAATGGTCCTTAACTTTCTACTGCCATAGAACCCTTTATAAACTTTAAAAAGAGATATAGGCCCTTAAAAGCAGAAAAGGTACTGTTGCTTACAATTATCTGGTTAGGAGGAAGAATGAGGAGCAATCGCAACAGTCAGGACAGATACGATGAAGGCTGGACTAAGTCACAGGACTGAAGACAGGAATGAGTTAAATAGCTGTGTATCACCAAGAGATTTGGTCACAAAATTAAGAAATAAGGGAGAGAGATGAATCTAGGTCTAGTTTGGAGAGAAACAGACTTCAGAAGGAAGGATGGGTTTAGTTTGGAAAATGTTGAGACAAAGGTGCTTTGGGGACATCAAAATAAAGAAGTTAGCCAGGAAGCCAAACATGCTCTTCAATTTTATGTTTCACACACAGGGTCTCTTGTCGCAACACTCTACAGACTCTAAAATCTGTGTAACATTTCTCAATTGAGACAAGAATAGCCTCCATTTGCAGAAAGGGATTCAGAGATGGAGGAAGAAAGCAAACTTCACACCAAATCAGTTTACATTTTTTAAACTAAAAGAATAGACTTTTATTAAGCGCTGTAAGTTTCTTTCCATCAGCATTAACAGAACAACAGATCAAATTCCATCACAGAACTCCTGAGACATTCTCATCCCTTTCTGAGACATTTCCAATAAGTCCTGCAGTTTCCCCCAAGAAGCAGCCACTCAAACTTACATTAATAAACTATGGAGCTTTTGTGGTGAGGTGGGCCAAAAGGCAGGGAACTTGGAATCTGGGAGTGGCAAAGAGAAATACGTTATCCATCCACTAAACACACTGTCAAGAGCACAGGAAAAAAAAAAACAACAACAAAAGAATTTACCTTTGTCAATAACATCATTTATCAGGGAGCACTAAAAAATCACTGACTCTTTGCAGTTAAAGTTTTTTTTTGTTTTTTGTTTTTTTTTTTGTTTTTTGTTTTTTAATCTAGTATGTTAGTCTAAAAATAGAATAAAATAAAAGGTAGGAGGAAATTCCCTTCTGGGAAGTAATTAAAATGAATTCATCAGATCTGGCAGGGGTATGAGAGATTAATAAAATCTGAAATATTTAACTTGCTTCATTTACATGAAAATTCACTAGCCATTATTTACTACCAACACAGACAAAAAAGTCATCTATAAAAGTACAGGGACAATGTCAAAAGCTGAAATGGGCACCCCAGCATAGGGGATGTTTAATTTTGCTTTTAACTTAGAAAAGATGATTTTTTTTAAAAAGTGACATTTTCTTAGAACATCAAAATATCCTCAGCCAATACTGAAGATAACCAGCACTAAAAGGGAACAGGTGCACTGAGCTATCTGTACCAGCAGACTACATCAATAAGAAAAGAGAACGTTACAAAAGAAGCAGCCGAAGTGATGGGCAGGAGGACAGGGGGACACACAATGGAAGAGTGAAAACTTACCCCCCGAAACCCCAAGAATATTTAGGAAATACGCATCTGAAAGTGAAGAAGTATAATGATTAAACCTTTAGTAGAATTAGACTAACTACTTTAAACTGTGGTCTACTTGTACTGTCATTTCAAAGGGTGGGGCGGTTAGAGGCTGAGAGGGTGGCACTGTATACCCACAGGGGCCTTCTAAGGTTTCAAAGGACTGAATCATCAGACCCAGAGGGCTACTCTCATTCTTTCTATCCTACAGAAGCATTTTTGCATCCCCCTCCCCCTAATACCTTGTATTTTTTTTTCCGTGATGAAAATATTAGGGTAACTTGGCCAACAATGTCAGAAAATCCAGATGGAGGCAAAAATTAAGTGTCCCTAGCCAAAGACAGTGCCATTTCTTGGGCTTCAATTTACCTGAAGTCCTACCCACATACAATGAAAATGATGAAAATGAACAGAAGTCTGTCCGGACTGGTCATTTCAAAAAGGTAGGAGGCACGGGCTGAGCCAAAGACACAAGGCAGAAGAACTGCAGGACTTTGGGGATCAGTGGCCGTACAAAACCAGGTTTGGGGTGGCTTTTGTTGTGTCCCTACCAGGTAAAGCAGTCATTTCGGGGGGTTCCAACATGACTTTGTCCAGTAATAATCAGAAGGAGATCCTCAAATGGGTCCAGGAAAGGTCTGCAGTTTGTCTTCCAATTAGAAAACGTTCATTTCTCAGCAATGAACCCTGGTTTTCCTGGCTTTTAAATCGTGTGTTTTGGAGGTACACTGAAATCTAGGAACATAACCCTTTATAGTTCTTTCTTGTAACTTCCCAAACCTCAAACACTGAATCAAGATAAAATTCAACGTTGGAAGTAAGCCACTTGTATCGTCCTGGGCCCGGCTAGGGAGAAGCAGAGGTTGATGGAAGGGGGAAAAGTAAGTCTTTTGGCAAACTGGAATCATTTCTGTCAAAGCAGCAATTTTACCTCTCACGGTGAATGGCTACAAAATAAACCTTCATGTTGTGAGAAAGGTGTGAGAGTTAACAATACTGTCACCTGACTGTGTCAGGTAGACTCACGATGCACACAAACAGCAACTGAAGATACTCTACCATTTAACTCCAAGTACTTCCTATTCAATATTTGTCCATATATCTAACCATTCACTCACTCAATGATTCTGGTTGCTTTTAGAGCTCCAAAGGATTCATCCTTCTGTGGCTCAGAAGGTGATTCTAAGCCATCTACATTTTCTATGAAGTCCTTCCCTTACTGGATATAAAAGTCCTAACCTTCACGGTATTGATTGTGAAAGGATGAGCAGGTCCAAGATCAGAAAGGGGACCAAATTAGGGGAGCTCATTTCAAAGAGGAAGTGTATAATTTTTCTTGTTATATACAGCCAGGTACATAATCTTGCCACCTTTATTAGGTGTATTTAAGAAATGTCTGGGCAAGGGGCAAGGCATACCTGGACTCCTGTCCCCTGAAAATTGTCAATTTTCTTAAACTGGGCTAGACTCAGTTCTAAAACACCGAGACATTTTAGTTTCTTGAGACAGAATGGGCAGGTAGCAAACACAGCCTTCTGGTTGTCTGGAAAAAAATCACCAAGGATCTGTTGTAGGTTAAGATGCATGGTTGTTTTTTTCCCCAAAAGAGAGAACCCTGCTAGGAGTCTAGTCAGTTATATTCTTGTAGAAACGATATTTCTTGGGCAAGAATATCAAAGTCCAAAAGGAGATGTGTGTGGCTAGAAGCCTCAATTCCTGAATGAAGATACACTACTAGTTTGTTACAAGTCATGTTTCCAGCCCTTCTATTTTGGCTGCCCAAAATGAGGGAAACTGGAAATCAAGGTTTTCTTAAGATTATCTCCAGCAAGGAGGAAGAGCCTTTTTATCCTGGGCAGATCTTGGCCTCGCAGGGACTGAGAATCTCTTACAGAATCCTTCTCAAATCCCAGGCCAAGTCCTCTGACATCTTCCTTGCAAAGCAAATGAAAAGATCCTGTAGTCAAAATGTCAATGAGTAAATGAAACGATCTAAGCATGTAAAATCAAATTGTCCAATTTCCTCACATCTCCCCACCCCATCATTCCAGTGCTTGGTTTCCCTCCTTAGATTCATGTCAATCAATTCTTGCCTGAAGCCAATTTGATCCTGGAGTTCCACAAGAAATTTCTTCCAAATTGGCTGAAAGCCCTTTCAAATGGTAATCACTTCCTATTCCTTTTCTATCTCCAAACCTTCATAAAAAATGTGCAACTCTTCCCAATCCCATTTCAACCTCCTGTTCTCACCATATGGGATGTGAGGGCTCTGTTCAAAGTGAAGTATTTGTTGTTCTGAACAGGCAATCTCTGGAAAGTACTTTGTGTCTGATTTAGAGTAGCCCATCTTCTCATAATTGTGATAGGCTGTGACTTAGCAAGGATTTCAGATTTAAAGTATGGTCTTTGAAACCCACCATTCCATAGCAGTGGAAGCATTTCTGGGAAATTCAGTAAATCTTCTGGAACTTTACCATGTATGTATGTGTATATATATCTGTATACACACATTTATATATATAAAATATGTATAGATAAATAGATCTGTCTCTTATATAAAGGGTATGTGTATGCATATAGATACACACGTTCATATATACACCCACACACACACCTATACACATGTACACACACATAGAGTCTTTTGAGTCCCTTTTGTACTCAGTTTCTAACATTGATTCCCACCCTTTTAGAGTGTGGGCAGCAGATAGTGGGTGAACTGCACCATAGCTTCTATTTTATAAACAATGCACTGGTTGGGAGGCAGGAAAAATCTGCCCAGTACTTTTCTGACTCACTTGAATCTCCCAGTACAAAGGCCATTGTAGTTTTTTTAAAGTATATAAAATAAAAAATTAAATAAAATAACCCAAACCAACACTGTCTACTTCCCTGAAAACGTCTACCTATCTGATTGTCAGGCCAGAGCTAGAGGTGGTACACAAGATCCTGGGGTAGGCGAGTTGGGGAAAGAGAAAGGAGGATAACGGCTAGGTACCAAGCTTCCATCACCTTAAAGACAAAAGCTCAGGAAGCCCTGGGCAGCTTCCCTTCAACCCCTTACTGATCATTTGAGTTTATAAGTGAGTATCACATTCAATACTCAGAAAACCAAAGCCAGACCGTTCCCATCGTACTTCTAGGATAACATCTGCTTTCTGGTAGTCACTGCCTCACTAGACTTCCAGGAGACAGAAGGAAATATTGGTGCTATGGATTTGAGAATCTGAGTTTAGTCTTGTTGCTAGTCATCTTTAACCAGAAATCTCCCAGGCTCTAAGTCTGAAGATAGGGAAGCAAAGATGGATATAATAAACATGTATTCCCTTCAAATCCTGGCTAAAACTAGGGGAAACATTTCTATCCTCCTCTAACTTGGGCCTAGAATCAGAAAAGTATAGTTTTCTCCTCTCCCTGACAAGTGAAGCTGGCTTCAGTTTGTCATTCCTCTTTCTGCTGGGCCACAGTTTCTAGCTCTTGCTCCTGCACGGGGTTCTTCTCTCCATTCTTCACGGGGAGGCAGTGGTCATCATTATTACACACGGTACTGTCTTTGGATAAGGCGCATTGTGATGGAGCTGGAAGATGATCACTCTTCTCTTCCATAATCAATGTGCTGTTGTTTCCATTCACCTGGGAGCGGGCCCGACCTGGATGAAGCTCCACAGACTTAGAAATTGCATCTGCAGAGCCCTGTCAAAAACAAGAGGTACTTGGTGGAAATGGTAATCCCAAACTGCCTGGGCTTCCCCAAGCATGTTCATAAGTTAGCCTGAGAAATTCTTCAGAAACAGCAGGAAGCCTAAAGGTCATCCATTCTGATACCGTCCTAAGAATATCAACAGCAGTGATGATACAATGACACAAGTACCACTCACATAGCTTTAAAGCGTATTTTTCTAGTACTTAGAGTGACTGAAATAGTATATACTATCATGCTCCATTTACTGATGAGGAAGCGGAGGCACAGGAAAGTTAAAATAACTTGCTTAAGATAGACAGTAGTGCAGCCAGGAATCTATTTTAGGTGGGTCAGCCTCTACATGCTCAACTGTCAGACAACACTGACTAAATACTGGCAATCAGAAGAGCAAATTACAAGTAAAGAGAAAACAAACAATGGGGGAGAACTCAGAAGCTCTACTGCAGTGTCTCCCAGTTTTAAGACGGATACTCGTTGCTGTTGGAAATGACACGAAGTGCGTGAGCCTGCAGCAAAGTGCTGACTTTCCATGACTGTCACTAGAAATAGTGATGTTACTGGGGGAAGTGACAGCTCCTGGTCCCTATGTGGTCAGGCGGTTCATTTTATGGATAAGACAACAGAAGCTCGAACAAAGCAAAATGATGGACCCAAGGTCCCTTGCACGCCAAGACCTTTCTACTCTTACGGCCCTACTTTATAATGAGATATAACAGATGCTCATAACTGTTGAATTTTGGTCAATTGTAAATAACAACTAATTTTTACTAATTGCTTTCTATAGTCCAGGGTCTACGCTAAATTCTTTACAGATATCATCTTATTTAATCTTTATAATCCTGTAATTTTCTCATTTTACAAATCAGGGAAATATGGAACAAGTTGTCCAAGATTACAGAATTGAAAGGGCAGAACTTGATGCAAAATTAAACCACTTTGCTCCAAAGTCTGTACAACACAGTGTTTGACCACAGGCCCTATAGATGCCTTTTCCTTCCCCCCGAAAATCAGGTCACAGCCCCTGGCGGCTCTCCTTTGGAATACAGTTGAGAAAGCATGCTGTACTGTGGCCTTGAGGCTCCTCTCCTGGCACCTGGAACATAAGTTTATGATCCTATCTGTGGGCCAGGCCAGGTTAGGGCACTTGGTATGAATGAAGCTTGCCTACACTCCTGAAAACACTCTAAGAATCAGAAACCCCTTTTGTTTTCCAGGTTTGAAAGGAAACCTCCCCCTCATCAGTCTCTCTCTGTCTCCTTCCCCTTTCCAAGGCCCTATTATGGCTGCCTTTGGCCAGGATGGTATGTCTTCTAATAAAGCTCATCTTTGGACCTGAAGTCCCAGTCTCCCTTCCAGGGCCCCATTGTCTAATAAAGCTCCTTTGAACAGTAATCTCATCTCAGCTCCTTTCCATGAACCTGCCATTTCTTTTTTTAAGTTACACCACACAGGGGCTACTAGGAAGTGTTGCCGAAGAATCTGAAAATACAGTGGAATTAGTAAAAATCTACCCAATGGGTGGAACTTGTCATCTGATGGATTCAACAAAGAAATAATATATTATAAATAAGTGACTTAAGGATTTACAAACATATAACACCAAGCCCTAGGAATTAACTCAGGAAGACGGAGCTATCGTATATGAGCATTATATAAGCTGGAACAATTAGTTACTGGAGGGATCACGAACAGAGCAGCTGTGGAACATGACTTTAACTATGTAAAGATGTGCTGCATTTGTTTCACCTTGCCCGCCTAAGGTCCCTGAGTGCTCTAATAAAATGCTGAACAGTCAACGGGTAGGCAGGAGAGGGACAGGCAGGACCAGTGGGCAGGGAGAATAAGCAGAAGGAGAAATTTAGGTTTGGAGGGGAAAGAACAAGGAAATGCCTGGGGCCAGCCGCCAGGCACCCGCCAGGCAGCCAGACACAGGAAGCAGGGAAGTGGGGCATACAGGAGGAAAGAAAGGTAAAAAGGCCCAAGGCAAAACACAGACGAAGAGGAAATAGGTTAAATTAAATTATAAGCGCTAGCTAGAAATGAGCATGAGCTAAGGCTGAGCATTCGTAACTAATAAGCCTCCATGTCATGATTTGGGGCTGCTGGTCCCTTTCTGAGAAAGGGAAATCAGCAAGGCTGTCAAGAGAGCCAACAGCAGTTGTGTCCAAAGAAGATGAGTTAAGTAATAATGAAGTTCATGGAAGCATTTCTGTGGCCATCTTACCTCTAGAGAAGATAGTAGTGGCTGAAGTACTCTGAGCTAGAAGATGCCTTAACACCCTTGTTTTCTCCCTCTCATGAAATAGAACAGTGTGGACTTCATATGTTCCTACAACAATTTAATGAGCTACTCCATGTAAAGCACTTAGAGTCTGGCATGCTCTAGAAACTCAATATAATGGCTACAAGCCAAGAGCCCATTTCAAACCCCCAGCCTCTACCCCCAAACCAAAGGAGAACTAAATAAATAGTAACTAACTTCAGTGTTTCTGTTTCATGCCCCCAAGCAAATTACTGATACCATGACTTGCCTTTAGAGAAAGCAAGTTCTGGTAATAATGGTTCGGAGCATGTGCACATAAGTCAGCAAAACCTGGCTTGGTTCTGATTCTGGCTCTAGCAATCAGAACTGCTCTGTTGCATTGGAATCCATATAGTATAGGACTTTGGAATCAGCTGGCTCAAGATGGAATGTCAATTCTGAAAACTGACTTGATTGATACATTGAGGTGAGATACTATCATTCCTCTAAACCTCAGGTTCTTCCGAAAGTGGGAAGTAGTAAATACCCCACGAGGTACTCATGTGGTTTCAATGACTTCATGTGGTAAACATGAGTGGCAAAGAGTATGTGTGCAATGTGTCATCTTAAGTATCCTTCTTATCATAAATCAGTACTTGGTTCTCATTCATTTGCCACTCACTCTGGATAGATCCACATGGCTATTTCTGTGATCTTGTTAGTATGAGTCAATCACAGAGAGAATATTCTTTACATACTAAAAATAGAAGGTTTTTCACACTGCATGCTACTACTTTATGGGTGTCTTCTTGGGTGACTACTTTTCCTTCTACATGCAACACTTTCTATCTTATTGACCAGTTTCTGGAGGAACTGAGAAACTTCAAAACATTCCCAAAGTTACTGTTCTGTGGTTTTGGGATGCATTATAGAATGCTTTGTGTGTAGGGGAGGGGTTAGTATTCAAGTTCCATTTTAGGTTTAAAATAATACCAAACCAAACATTAAATAGTTGGTTTATTTATTTATGGTATTTATTGCAAGACAGGGTCTCATTATGTAGCTCTGGCTGTCCTGGAGCTCACTCTGTAGACTAGGCTGGCCTTGAACTTACAGAGATCCACCTGCCTCTGCCTCCCAAATTCTCAGATCAAAGGCATGTGCCATTATGCCTATCTAATAGTTGGATTTATTATTGATACAGTGAAGGATGATGGTATACAGGAGAACAGATTTTGGATTAATATCTGATGACATCTTGGCATGGTGGCACAAGCCTTTAATCACAGCAGCTGAGAGGCAGATGCAGGTGGATCTCTGTGAGGCCAGCCTGGTGTACATAGAGAGTTCTAGGTCAGCTAGGGTTACATAGTGAGACTGTTTCAAAGAAAGAAAAAGAGAAGAAGACAGGAGAGGAGAGAAGTGGAAAGGGGCAAAGAAAGACAACTGATATCTATCTCTGGCCTCCACACACATATGTGTTATGCATTCATACCTGGCACACATGTGCACACACACACACAAGTGAAAGATGGTGATGTATCTCAGTGATAGAGTATTTGCCTAGCATGTGCGAGACCCTGGGTTTAATCTCTAGGAACAGACACACAGACACACACACATTCACACAGTAGAATAGTAATGGTTCCATCTCCCATAAGGCAAAAGTTAAATTTTCTAAGCACCTCTGTTGGGCCCGCAAAGCTCAGACAGGCTGCAGACAAACTAGTTGTTAGTGTCACTCTGGTCCCTTCTGGCTGGACGCAGCACACACTATACTAGGCACAGGTCTTCAGGACATTGTACCTGGTTTCTATTGTGTGGCCTTTCATTCAGAAAAAAAGGGAAGAGCCTCTGCAGCCCTGTGGGAACAATTTAGGGTGACAAACGCTTACTGGGAAGTAGGCACTGAAATCAAATGGCTGTAAAAGACATGAGACCTGCCCCCCCACCCCCACCCCCAGACGGCTCAGTTTTCCATGCCTCGCAAATCTCTTATAATTTAACGAAAAGGGGCAAACGGTGTAAACCGAGCTTGACACTCTCAAAAGAGATACTTACTTGTTTATTTCCTTTTTTGTGACCTTTGGATCCTCTACCAGCCTGTTCTTTTCCATGCCTTTAGCAAGAGGGAGAAAAGTGACCATGAGAACATGTAAAGCCCAAATCCCATCTTTACTTGGTTAACTACTCATCTTGAGGAAGAAGTTTAGTCTTGTAAACTTAGATGACTCTCTTTAGTACTGCTCCTGCAAACCTCTATTCATATCATTTCTACGCTGCACTGAATTATTGTGTGTTCCTTGTCTTCTAGCACAATTTAAAAATTTTTTTTTTTTAACAAAAGCAGGGCATTTGTTACACATTTGATGAACCAGAGTTACAGCTGATTTCAAGTATGGAAAGTTGATTCATACCTCTTACCTTCACAGAAGGACTCAATAGCTGAGCATTTTCCTAAACACCAGGACTGACCCTAGCTCATAGCAACCCATTCAAGTACATACCCCTTTCCTGGCCCACCGACAGAAACCACTTGCATGCCAAAGGATCCTCGACTTCTAGAAGATCTGCTGCCAGCCCACTGGCCCACCACCATGCCAGCAATTTCCAGTTTTCCGCCTTGGGGTGGGATTGGATGGAGACCTGTGAATTGAAGAAGAGCAGTGGTGAACGGCAAGTGCCAGACAGGGCAGGAGCTGGAAGAAAAGTGCTAGACAATCTACCTCTTCCTCTCGGATAAGTGCTAGACAATCTACCTCTTCCTCTCGGATAAGACTGTGATAACAAGGGAAGCAAGTACAGAGGAGGGGAGTGAAGGTCTCGATAGCCACTTTAATAACTGGGGTCTAAGTCATCTTTTTTTCCAACTGTATAGCCTGCCACATAATAGGAATTGGTTTAGAAAAATGCTTTTGCTGGCCCCAGATACATTTTTCCATTTTGAAAAAATCCAGAATTTCCATATATGCATATGTGTTTTGTTCAATCCTTTCACCCCATTCCTTTCCACTGTAAGTCATCACTTATCCTTCTCATCACCTTTCTCTTTCAACTTCACCTTCTTCAAAAAAAAACAAACCATTGAATCCACTTAGTGCTGCAAGCATGTGAATGCGTGGAGGACCATCTACTGGAGCATGGGAAGCTTCTGAGGCCACATCCCAATAACCACTCAGCTGGATGGACCTCATGGCCCCTTCCCTGGCCCACGCGGGGATTTTTGCCTAGCTTGATCCTGTGAAGGTCTTCGGCAAGCAATCACAGCCACTGTGAGTTCATGTGTGCAATAGCTCTGTCATGTCCCAAAAACAGTATTTCACAGCAGTCACTCACTACCTCTGGCTCTCACAATCTTTCTGTTCCCTCTTCTGCAATGACTCCTACGACTTGGGGGAAGAGAGCACACTACAAATGTCCCAGTTAGGGCTGAGAGCTGGGCATTGTCTTATTCGTTCACACTGACTAGTCGTGGGTCTCTGTATTAGTTTCTATCTACTGCAAATAGAAGCTTCTCTGATGAGGGTTGACAGATGCACTAACCTATAGATGTAAAGGTAAGTACTTCAGGAGCAGCTTAACATATGTCCATTTGGAAGAAGAATAGTAGTAGTAAGTAAATCCAGTCAGAAAGTAGTAGTTGGTTACTCCCACAATATCCATGCCACCACTGTATTAGTGGGCACATCCTGCCAAGCTAGTCACTATTTTAGCTTACAGGGGTCATAGCTGGGTAAGACTGCTGATTACTCTTCTCCCCAGCAGTCTGCATAGCATCTTCCAGCACTATGAAGATAGCTAGCAGAGATGAAGCTTTCAAATTGGTACTGGTTTAATTTCTCCACGTGCTATGACTCAAGTATGTGGTATGTTGAGTAAAAGGGTCTGGGTAACCAAAATCAACAGCAATACCTTGCATTGTTTGGGGACTCCAGGGGACCCCACTGACCAACAACATGTAAAGAAGTGACCCAAATCTGGCAATGCACTTTTTGTTGGCTAGCCTATGTTGGCTAGTAGTTGTATGAGAGAGGAATTACTCTCCAATTATAGGGTAACTCCACTTAAACTCTTTTTTATACACGTATATGTTTTTAGGAAACTTCTACAGTAGTGGGTTTCCATAAGGCTTTGTCAAAGGCTTTAGTGTTAGTTATCCTTCTCCATACCTTCTCTTCTCTTTCCTCAAATGAATTCTTAAAATGTACTTATTGGAAAATTCTAGGTCAAACCCACTTTCCATACAAATGTGCCTCATTATACAATAAAGGATTAGTCAGATGAGTAAACTATATGAAAAAAATAAATATATAATTAAAAAGCTAAGACTTGATGATGATCATGGTGCATAGCCCCAATCCCAGCACTCAGGAGACAGAAGCAGGAAGATTGCAACAAGTTAATGCTGGTCTGGTTAGAAGAATGTGGCAGTTTAAATATGAAATATGCCCCACAGGTTCCTATGTTTCAACAGTTGGTCCTCAAATGGCAGTGCTTTTGGGGAGGTTGTGGGGCCTTTAGGAGGTTGACCTTAGCTGGGGGATGTGTGCTACTGGGGGGTAGGCTTTGAGGGTTGTAACTGGCCCCATTTCTGGCCTGAGTTCTCTGCTTTCAGATTCACAAAGATCAACAAACATAAAGAAAACAGGGCTGGAGAGATGGCTCAGAGGTTAAGAGCACTGGTTGTTCTTCCAGAGGTCCTGAGTTCAATTCCCAGCAACCGCATGGTGGCTCACAGCCATCTGTAATGAGATCTGGCGCCCTCTTCTGGCATACCGGCATACATGCAGGCAGAACACTATATACATAATAAATAAATCTTTAAAACAAAAAGAAAACAAACCACTGATAAGGTCCAGCCCACATGCCTTCCTTGCCATGATATACAGTATTTCTTTAAAACATGAGTTAAAATCTCCCTGTCCTGTTAGGTATTTGGTCACAACCACAAGGATAGCAACAAAAATGAACCATAACAGTTATAAAAACCAGGAACAATTCAAGACAAGATGACATGATTACCTCCTGAAGACAGGAGATTGCAATTGTGTGTACGTTCATGAGCACAGTTGAATTTCATAAGGTAGCAAGAAAGTTCTAGCTGGGCATGGTGACACATGCCTGTAATCCCAGCACTTAGAAGTTAAAGACAACAGGATCAGGAAATTCAAGGCCACCTAGGCTACATGACACTCTGTGTCAAAAAAAATCAATACAATAACAATGAACTGGGAGTTCTGGTAAGGTCTTTTAGCACATGGAATCCAGAGGTTAAGAACACTTTATACACTTAGCCTCTTGTTCTAGTTTCCTTTCTGTTGCTGTGATAAAATACCCTGAAAAAAAACAACTGTGGGAGAAAGAATACATTTTAGCTCACAGTTCTATCATAGCAGGGAAATCCAAGTGGCAAGAACTTAAAGCAGCTAGTCACACCACATCCACAGTCAAGAGCAGAGAGAATGTATGCATGCATGCTTAGCACTTGGGGAGTTTACTCTTATGCAGTCCAGGGCCCCAAACCAGGGAATGGTGCTGCCCAGTTTCAGGCTGGGTCTTCCTCATGCCAATTAAGGCAACCAAGACAATTATCCATAGACATACCTGTAGGTCAACCTAATCTAGACAGTTCCACATTAAGACTCTCTTCCCAGTTCTAGGTTGTATTAGGTTGACAGTTAAAATCAGCCATCATATGCCTGGTGCTGGTAGCACATGGCTTTAATCCCAGCACTCAGGAGGCAGAGGCAGGCAGATCTCTGAGTTAGAGGCCAGCCTGGTCTACAAAGTGAGTTCTAGGATACCCAGAGTTGTTGCACAGAAAAACCATGTCTTGAAAAACCAAAAAAGCAAAACAAATAAAAACAAACCCAAAAAACCATCATAGTCTTTATATGAAAGTGAGATCCTAAGGGTTTACTACTCTTTTTTTTTTTTTTTTTTTTTGAGACAGGTTTTCTCTATGTAGCCCTAGCTGTCCTGGAATTCACTCTGTAGACTAGGCTGGCCTTGAACTCAGAGATCCACCTGACTCTGCCTCCCAAGTGATCTGATTAAAGGCGTGTACCACCAACATCCAGCTGCACTTGGTGATTTTTATCGTGTTCTTTCAGAAAGGCAGGAAGCGCAGGCAGGAGGCTTCTGTGATCCATCACTAGTTTAGGCAATGGTAAGAATTTCCCAAGAACTTGGCCTTAATTAAGGCATCTTCTGAGAAACACACAATACAGTCAACACACACACACACACACACACACACACACACACACACACTCAGAGATCAGTTAAGTCAGCTTAAAGGGATGGAATGGTTGGTTCCTTAGTCTGTAAGACTTGACTACATAGGGGCCTTGTAGGTGGAGTTTTCATGTCCTGGGAGCTGCTTCCAAATTACCACATGAGACTTATATTAATTGTAAATGCTCAGCCAATACCTCAGGCTTATTACTAACTAGTTCTTATATTTTAAGTTAACCCATGTTCCTTATTTACACCCTGCCATGTGGCAGTACCTTTATTAGCATGGCACATTCATCCTCTGCTCCCTCTGCATCTAGCTGGTGACCCCTGACTCTGTTCTTCCTCTTCCCATCATTCTCAGTTTGGCTTTCCCACCTTGCTGCCCAGCTACCCACCTGTCAGCTTTTTATTAACCAATGAGAATAATACATATTCATAGTGTAGAAAAGGATTGTTCCACAGCAGGGCCTGACTTCCATACTGCTCATGTAAGCCTACCCTTGAGCTAAATATAACTGCTGAGTTTTGTGACCCTAAAAGACTGAGTTCAACTTCCAGCTTTATTGTTTTTAAATGGAGGTACAACACACAATACACATGTTCAACAGCAAAGATACACTCACCTGATGACAGATTCTTGCTATTTCATGTTAAAATATCAATATTGAAATACCCTGGTTCAGAACTGGGGATACATGTAGCTCAGAGGTAGAATGCCTGCCCAGAATATTTAAAATCCTGGGTTTGATCCCAACTACCACACACACACAAAATCGTGTTTCACCAGAAGCAGGTTATTTAATATATCAAGATTTTAGCTGCCTGAATCATGCTTGTGTATTCCTTATTAGGCAGAAGCTTGGGAGTCACCATAATTTATATATACATGTATGTGCTTGTTTTCTCTACTAAGATGTAATTCTTTGGGGTGTGTGGATGATAAAATTTCTTTCCATGCTTTTGGAGCTGAAGGTAGGCAGTGTATCAGGTCTACCCCTAGAGTGAATACAGCTACATCAAGCTACTGTCATCTTTCAGTACTGGGATGTACTTCCAATACTTTCCCACAAACGCCTTCCTGCAACTGCTCATAAGGAATGGATGAACTAGCAGCAACCACGAAGATCCAGTTCATATAAATTATAACTATCAAAATAATGAAATGACAAGTGATTCTTGGTTTTGCATCAGTCCAGACCACATGAGTTTGGATGATGAGAATTAATCACTGAGAACTGACCACCTCTATTGAGAATGGTCTTGGATTTCAATGGACTTTCTTCCCCAGGATACATTGATAGTTACATTTGAAACTATTATACCACAGCATGGAATTCAGTAACTGGCAGTGAACTGGATGGTTTATAGCAAAATAAATTAGATGACACCTCATTCTGAAGTACTGACCTGCAAATCCCCGACTCCTTGCTTGAGGGGGAGGCGGAAATGAGCCCATGGCTCTGGAATAAAGAGAAACAGGATAGAGAGAGGGCACCATGGGAGGCACAAACGTAGGTGACGGAAGTAGAGCAGAAGGTGGTGGATGATTCATGTTGACGCCTTCAAGGATACTCTGCCTCATCTTCTCCACTTTGCTTGCCAGGTCAGCCTTCAAATGAGGAAGAGAATTGGTACTGTTCTGAACTTGCCCCATGTTTCATGCATAGTATTGAACACTCTAGGCACATTCTCATAATTCTATTCCCATTATGGGAATTGAGCCCAGAGTGAAAGGCTTCTAGACTCCAGCCTCAGGAAACCCATTTAGCATCAAAGCATCCACTCTTCAAAAGATACCTACAATACCAGAAGATCAGTTCTGACCAGCAACTTGTGAGGAACATTATCTATGGGGTTGACAACCAATAGAACAATGAGGAATCAGGAAATGGTTGACTGCATGGCCAACTGGCTAGGTTATTCTTTTAAGGGGGAGGTAACAAAATCAGGTAACAGAGAAAAGAAAAAACAGACATCTCCCATACTCAGCACTGGAGACCCTTAGCTCTGATGAGTGGATGGTTGTGAAATATTAGTTTAAGATGTTACATTCATTTATGCCGTGGAATATTTGTTTAATGATACAATGATATGCTGCATTTGTTTAACTCTGTAAAGCTGTGTTACTTTGCCTGTCTAAAACACCTGACTGGTCTAATAAAGAGCTGAACGGCCAACAGCTAGGCAGGAGAGGGATAGGCAGAGCTGGCAGGCAGAGAGAATGAATAGGAGGAGAATTCTTGGCTTGAAAAAAAGAGGAGCAAGAAAAGGAGGAGAGAAGCATGCCAGGGGCCAGCTACCCAGCCCCACAGCCAGCCACCGAGTAAGACGGAAAGAAATATAGAATAAAGAAAGGTAAAAAGCCCAGAGGCAAAACATAGTTAAAGAGAAATGGGATAATTTAAGTTAGAAAAGCTGGCTAGAAACAATCCAAGCTAAGGCCAGACATTCATAAGTAAGAATAAGTTTCCATGTATTTATTTAGGAGCTGGGTGTCAGGCCCCCAAAAAGCAAAACAAAAAACAAAAAACAAAACAAAACAAAAAACCCAACTACAGGTGTGTGCATATACCTAGTCCCAGAGGTTGGTAAACTTCTGAAAAAGGTAGGCAAGTAAATACTTTAGGCTTCATGGGCCACACTGTGTCTGCCACAACTACTCTGCTTTGCCATTCTAGCATGAAAGAAGTCACAGGTATGTAAAGGAATGAATGTGGCCATGTTCCAATAAAATGCTATTTATAAAGGACAGGGGACAGGATAGGAGTAGTTGGCTGACCCTGCTCTAGTCCCTCAGCTTACTCCCCACTAAACAGATAAGATACTGAGTAAGGTTTCCTTTCCCTTGCTTTTTCTCCCTTTCCCAAGGTTATATTGGAAAAATCTACTCTATTATCTACTTTCTGCTCTCTTCCATTCCCAACCTCCTTTCCCCCAAAAATTCACTTAGAGAAGGGACTTGCAGTGTTTGTAAATAAGGGAAAATGAAATTCCAATAGTTCCAGGAAGGGCATATAGTATATGTGGAAATTCTGTGGAGAAGAAATACTCTCAGTAAGAAATAAGTCATATAAACTTTAAGCTTGGGGATAAAAACAACTTTCCGACACACGCTTTTGTAATAGACATGTATTAGATTATAAGCTTTGGAGACCATGTTGATTCAATTTAGCTTGGCTCAGACACATCGGCTCACTTCTGCTCTCTACTGCCTAAATGTCTGAGCTCCTTCCCCCTGCATGCCTACTGATTTGTCCCTGTGACAGGTCAGGGGTATGGACTGTACCTGGCCATCACAGAGTTCAACCAGGGACACTCGCTCTCGGCCTGCTTTAATGAGCTTGCTCTGGAACAGCTTGCCATCAAAGTAAATCCAGGGGCAGCAGTGCTCCCAAGGGACTGGCTGGCCACATGCATCATTGGCAAACAGAGCTGTGTCGACCCCACTCATGAACAGGGCAGCAAGCTGGATCCCTCGAGCATCCAGTTTCTCAATCTGAAACCATCAGAGAAAAAAAATTAAGAAATAAGAAAAAAGAAATGAAAAACTTTAAGTCTAAAACAATCTAAAATCTGTGGCCTCATATGATTGGTTGCAGTTAAAATGCAGATGCCCTAAAAATATTGTATAAAATTATCTTCAGGCTATATTTATAAGGTATATATGAAACATAAATGAACATCATAGTTAAGATTTGGGTCCTATCCTAGGATATCTCATTGTGTGTATGCAAATATTAAAAATCTGGAAAAAAAATCTCAAATTTGAAATATGTCTGCTCATTTCTGTGCATTTCAGATAAGGGATACTTAACCTACATTGTCATTGGTAACATTATTATTGTTGTTGTTGTTTATTTATTATAATGTCATGTTGACTCTTCCAGCTAAATTAGACCATGCTGGGCTGGCAGGATGGTTCAGTGGTTAAAGGCATTTGCTGCCAAGACTGAGTTTGATCCCCAGGACCCACATGGTAGAAGGAAGAGAACCAACTCATTCAAAAATTGTCCTCTGGCCGGGCGGTGGTGGTGCACGCCTTTAATCCCAGCACTCGGGAGGCAGGTGGATCTCTGTGAGTTCGAGGCCAGCCTGGACTACCAAGTGAGTTCCAGGAAAGGCGCAAAGCTACACAGAGAAACCCTGTCTTGAAAAACCAAAAAAAAAAAAAAAAAAAAATTGTCCTCTGACCTCCACACTCCTTTCATGGCACACATGTATCCCTCTGTATATACCCCCAAATAAATAAAAATACATGTAAAATAGTTTTTAAAAAATGATCTTACTCTGAAACTCAGGCTGATCTCACAGTCACAGTAATCCTCCTGCCTCAGTTTCCTAAGTACTGGGATGACAGTCTTGAGCTACCATATATATTGCCTTTCAGTAGTTATTTCAGTACATAAGTAGCTTTTTTTAAATTTGTTTGTTTGTGTTTTTGTTTCTCGAGACAGGGTTTCTCTGTGTAGCTTTGCATCTTTCCTGGATCTCGCTCTGTAAACCAGGCTGGCCTTGAACTCACAGAGATCCACCTGCCTCTACCTCCTGAGTACTAGGATTAAAGGCATACACCACCACTGCCCGGCACATAAGTAGCTTTTATGTCCACCTTTCCTTGAAATGATTTAGATCAGTAGTTCTCAATCTTCCTAATGCTGTGACCCTTTAATACAGTTCCTCATGTGGATTATTTCATTGATACTTCATAACTGTAACTTTGTTACTATTATGCATTGTAAATATCTGATATGCAGGACATCTGATATGTGACACCAAAGAAGTCATGACCCACAGGTTGAGAACCTACAATTTTTTTTTTTTTTTTTTTTTTTTTTGGTTTTTCGAGACAGGGTTTCTCTGTATAGCTTTGCGCCTTTCCTGGATCTCGCTCTGTAGACCAGGCTGGCCTCGAACTCACAAAGATCTGTCTGGCTCTGCCTCCCGAGTGCTGGGATTAAAGGCTTGCGCCACCACCGCCCGGCTGAGAACCTACAATTTAGAGGCTGCTCATTATTCTGTCCATCAAATTTGAAAATTTCAAAAAGTGAAAACCAAAAGAATATTCAATACTGATGATAGTGCAGTGAAATAAATGGGAAATCATATAAATGCTGAGGATATACATTGCAACTAAGTAACACAGATCAAGAAGTCTGAAAATATTCACATTTGCCAACTCAATCAGTTCTAGCCAGGTGATGGTACATGGACTTGGGAGACTGAGGCAGGAGGGCTGCTACAAGTTCAAGGCCAGTCTGGGCCAAGACAATATATCTTCTCTCAAACCAACCAGTCAACCAACCAACCAAACGAAAAAGAACCTCTTCTGCCAAGCATGCTAGAGCTCAGATATAGTCCTGGCTACTCAAAAGGCTGAGGGAATAGGATCATCTGAACCTAGGAGTTGGAGTTGAGCCTAGGTAACACAGAAAGTTCCATTTCAGAAACAAAATGTTCCAAAGTCTGAAGCATTTTTGAGTGCTGACATGATGCCAAAATTGGAAAATTCAATACCTAGTCTTATGAGACAGGTTGCAGTCAAAATATAGGTACACTAAAACTGTTATACAGGATTATAGACTATATTCTAAGGAAATGCACATGTCAATAAAGATGTATGCATAAGCATGCAATTATCACATTACATATATTAATGAAAACTAGAAATAATCTATACAGCTAACATCATAATAATTAAATGATACATCCATATGATAAAAAAATTACTAAATTTTTAACACAAAATAAATATGGACTATGATAAGTTAAAAAGAAAGTACAATACAGTTGTCTCTCAGTATTCTTGGGGAACTGGTTTCAGGACCCCTTGAAGATAACTAAATCAATGGATGCCCAAGTCCCTTATGGAAAATGGTATGTTTATATATAGCCTACACAATCCTTCTATATGTTAAATTAGCTCTATATTACTTTATTATGAACAGATTTCATATTGTATTGTTTGGCGAATAATGACAAGAAATAAAGTTAAGAGGAATCATTTGGAGTTTCAGAGATTTATTTTTTATTTTATGTGTATGAGTGTTTTGCCTGTATGTACACAAGTGTACCACTTGTTTGAAGTGCCCCTGGAGGCCAAAAGAGGGCCATGGATTCCCTAGAACCGAAGTTATAGATGGTTGTATGTTGTGGATATTAGGAACCAATCCTGCATCCTCTGCAAGAGAAGTGAGTACTTAGAGCCATCTCTCCAGACCCATCGTTTCTTTTTCTTTTTCTTTTTTTTTTTTTGAGACAGGGTTTCTCTGTGTAATAGTCCTGGCTGTCCTGCTCAGTAGATCAGGCTAGCCTCAAACTCAGAGAACTTCCTGCCTCTGCCTTCCAAGTGCTGGGATTAAAGGCATGCTCCACCACCACACTCTATGTAGAGATCAAGCTGACCTTGAACTCATGGGTGATCCTCTAGCCTCTGAATACTGATATTATAGGATTGTGCCATTATACCCAGCCAACAGGTGTAACTTTGAAAAATATTTTTGTATGGAAAAGCAGTTGACATAATTTATAAACAATATTATAAATGCATAGGACAAGCATACAAAACACCACAATATTTGATCATTAGCACACTCCCCCTCCCCAGAAAGATATCAAAGAAAGATAACATCAAAAACTGATCATGGTATGGAGCTGGAGAGACATCTCTGCAGTTAAGAGCACTTGATATTTTACAGAGGACCCAGGTTCAATTCCACAGGGTGGCTCACAATCATCTGTAACTCTGGTTCCAGGGGACCCAATGATCCATTCTGATGTCTGTGGGCACTAGACATGCACACAGTGCACAAATATCCACACAGGCAAAACATTAATACACATAAATAAGTTAAAACTGACTGTAGTGGCTATTTAAGGCTGGCACATCAGATGGCTTAATAGGAAAGTTGATGCATTTTCAAGGCCCCTTCTGGGTGTGATTTGGCACAAAGAGCTGCTCTAGGACCCAGGAATATATTTGATATCAAAAGAATCATTCTTTGTCTTAGGCTGTTGCATCTTTCTTTAGCTGACCTAATCTAAATTACGACTTTGCAAGTCTTTTTCTCTTTTCTCTGATGTTTGTGATCGAACCCAAAGCCTCTTGCATATTATCCAGGTACTCTACCACTGAGCTGCAGCCCGACTCCAAGTCTATTGTTTTGTTTGAAATCTCCACATACTCTGGGCTGGTCTTAGACTCTTTACCTTCCTGCCTCAGCTTTGAAGCATGTGCCACCCTGCTTCAAATTTGTAATTTGTGCTTGCTTTTTGAGCCAAGGTGTCACTACATAGCCCAGGCTGGCCTCAAACAAATGACCCTCCTGCAGCAGGGATTAGAGGATGTTCCACTATGTGTGTTCTTTGTTTTGTTTTCAAATGGTCTCAGGCCTTTCATTTTACATCTTTTTAAAAAATAACTTATTTTTATGAGCATTGATTGGTGTTTTGCCTGAATATATGCCTCTGTGAGGGTGTCAGATCCTCCAGAATGGAGTTATATGTTAAAGACAGTTGTAAATTGCCATGTGGGTGCTGGGAATTGAACCCTGGTCCTCTGGAAGAGCAGCCAATGTTCTTAACCACTGAGCAATCTTTCCAGCCCCCTCATTTTAACATCTTACCACCAACTCTCCATTTATCCAGACTATCCTTATCTTCAGTGATGTTAAGTGCAAATAGTATTTGCAAAATTCCCCATTCTCTTAAAACCACGTGTTTGTTGAAGTGAGGTTACTTTCCTCTCTGCCACAATTTCTGACAAATTTTCTATTTCTTCCTTCTTGTAGGTGGTTACATGCAGTTGTTTAGAAATTCATAATATCTCATTAGATCCTCTTAAATATCTGTAGGCTACATAGTGGTACCACTCTTTCCTATAATTAATAAGCTTTGTTTTGTCAATTTATTGATTAATCTGAATAAAAGCTTATAAATTCAGAAAAAAAGAAAGAAATTGCCTTCATCAGATTGGTCTATGAGGGAGTCTTAGGGCATTTTCTTGATTAATGATTGATGTATGAGCAAGCCATGAGGAGCAAGCCAGTTAGCAGCACTCCTCCATGGTCTCTGCTTCAACAGTTTCTGCCTCCAGATTCCTGCCTTGAGTTCCTGCTAGGGGGTAATAATGCCAAGACTGAAGCACAAGGCAACCTGTCTTTAGTCTGCCTACCATACCACTCTCTTTTATTGCTTTAGTTCTTGCTGTCTTTACTTTCTTCTTTATGCTTTTGTGTTTCTTCCAGGATTCACTAATCTTTCTTAAGTGTGTTTTGGGAGAGGGGCCAGTAATGAGATGGCTCAGCAGGTAGAGGAACTTGAATTTGATCCCCAGATCTTCCAAGGTGGCCCGAGAGAATTGACTACTGAGAGTTGTCATCTGACCTCTACATGTATACTGTAGTACACACACGCCTATACTCGCACACTAAATAAAGAAATAGAAATTAAGTAGTGGGAGATAGACATTTACTCAGTGACAAGTAGGGATACTAAGGTAAGTCCCTGCAACATACCTTATTAGTGACGGAAACCTTACCATGATTTACAAGCCCTACAAAGTATCTTTTTCTCTGTCTTCTCATTCATCATTATGGGGGGGGGGTAATATAGCAGCATCTCTTGGTTTTATTAATAGAAGTATCTATTTGGCTAAGGTAAATAAAATACTTACCTATAGAATTATTATTTTCCCTCGCTCCAAAAGGAAAAGACTTAGAGTTGAGGTATGAGTTTATGTAGAAACAGCACATACCTATAAATCTCAGCACTTGGGAAGTAGAAGCATAAGGATCAGGAGTTCAAGGTCATAAGGTCATCTGTACTGACACAGAAAGTTTAAGCCAGCCTGAGACCCTGTCTCAAAAAAAGAAAAAGAAAAAGAAAAGCCTAAAAGGCAGAAGAATTTTAAATGATGGTGGACTAAATTAAATCACCTTGAGTTCTTGAAGCTGATCTGGTTCATAAAGCTGGGTAGACACAGCCTGTGCAAGGAAGGTATCAAGTTCATGGCGATGCAGGATTCGACCACCAGGCCACTGAACCATGTATCTAGAAACAAGAACATCAGTATTTGATCACAATTGCCATTCATGTCACACGCACTTCCTAAGAACCAAAAATGGTGCCATACATTTTAGCACACGCCTCTAATCCTATTACTCTAATACTTAGGAGAAAAAGGCAGAAAGATAGAGTTCCAGGCTAGCCCAGGCTTCATAGCAAGACACTATCAACAACAACAACAATGGCTGGAGATGCAGCTCTGTAGTAAAGAGCTTGCTTAGTATGCACAAGGCACTGGAATCTATTCCCCAAACTGTAAAACAAACACACAAACATGCACACACAAAAACTCCACAACCTTATCAGGGACCAAACTCTGAGCTAGTTTATAGTGATTCCAAATCTGAGTGGTAGAGGAGACAGGCATAAACAACATTGACAGTACAGTGTGTTATGAATCAAGAAAAAAACTATGCAGGGTTCTTTGAGAACACAGGAGAGTTCAAATGGTTAAGGAAGTCACCCTGAAAAACTCAGCAGGAGCAGAGTTTCAAGGGAATCAGATAGTTATTGAGACATAAGGTAGGAATAGGATGCTCTAGGATAGTCTGGAGTATTATGGAGGCATGATTTGGCAAGATGCACCTGGTTTGATATTGCTTAATGACAGCGGGTGAAATCATAAAGTAGGTCACATCATAGTCTCCAAATAAGATTAGGGAATGTGCATCTTTGTCCCCAAATTTTAGGAAGACATTTAAGGATTGTTAACAGGAGTGTGATAATGACATGCATATCAGTTGAGAGGTGACTGCATCTGTGGCCAAAGTCATTGTCAGTAGGAATGAAGTTGTCTGGGAATAAAGATAAGAGCTACCAGTGTATAAACCCAAAAGGTTTGGTCATAGGAATTTTCCCCCACAGTGCTAGGGATGGAATCCAGGACTACACGTATGTTAGGTGAATGCTTTGTCACTTCCAACCCTTGGCCACAGGTTTAAGAACTCTGGCTTGTGAAGATGACTTGATGTCATGGTACCATTTTTAAAGCTAGGAAATGTAGGGCGAGGCAGTGGTGGCACGTCTTTAATCCCAGCACTCGGGAGGCAGTGGCAGGTGGATCTCTGAGTTCAAGGTCAGCCTGGTCTACAGAGCTAGTTCCAGGACAGCCAGGGCTTCATGGAGAAACCTAGTCTTGATAGATAAAATGAAAAAAAAGGGAGGGCTGGAGAGATGGCTCAGCAGTTAAGAATACTGACTGCCCTTTCAGAGGACCCGGGTTCAATTCCCAGAACCCACATGACAATTCTCAGCTGTCTGTAATTCCAGTTCCAGAGGACCCAACACCCATGGCAAAATACCAATACCAATATACCATGGCAATATACCAATACCAACATAAAATATAAAAAAAATTTAAAAAGGAAAAAGAATCTACTAATTAGGTACCTATTCATGAGTATTTGAATTGATTATCCACAGACTGAATGTGTCTTAAAGATACAGTGTCTTATAGATACTGAGAATGTAGAGACAGATAGAAAAAAACTGCAAATATATCAGCATAAAATATGCATTTAGCTCCTTGAAGGCCCACAAAACAATGAACAAGCATAACTTCTAAAGTTGTACAAGACTTTAGAAACTTGGCATTTAAAGCAAAGGGTGCCTGGACAACAGATGGGATATATTCCTGGGGACACTGGCCCAATTGCTACAGCCATAATCTGGCATGGCATCTAGAAACCTCTCTGAGCTACTGTCCTCCCATGGGCAAAAACCAAAACCAAACCAACCAACCAAACAGTATAAGCAACCTTACCACCACTATTTTTGATTCAAGCTCCAAGTCCTATTCCTTTGAATTTTACAATGATTCTGGAGTAGCAGGATGATAACAAATCCCGTGACTTCTTTAACAACTCAGGATATGGAGGCAGGAACTCTGCACCCCACAAAACTTCCTTTTGCCTAAAGCATTTGTACCCTCTTTCCCACTCATATTTTGTTCACTTGGGAAATTTATTCATACTTTATATTTTCTGATACTATATGATTTAGCACATAATTCATAGCTTGTATCTTCCATAAAGTGTTCTTTTTACTAATACTTTTTGCCTTGAAGGCTATTTTCATAGTTTCTTGGTTTAGCTTTACTTAAGCTTTTGTTTTTAAGCCTTTTATCCTAGTTTGTTGACAACTGTAAAGGAAAAAAAAAGGGAAGATAATGAACAACAAATGCGTTCATACTGGGAGTTTCAAATGTTACCATCCAGCTAGGACATGAAAGGTACACATAACAGACATTTAAAATCACAGACTGTGTGATTAACAGAATGAAGTTTAAATGCTTTACTGATTTTCTACAAAGAATTTATTCAAATGTCTCTGTGAGTTACCAGAGGTCTAGGACCTTTTATTTTCTTGATGATATTTGTTTAGAATTCCATATTTATTATAATTATAAAGTACATGGCATAGAGTGGGTATTTGTAAATATTTATTGGAAGAATAATGTATCAATCAGGTCATGATAAAACAAATGACAAACCAAAAGCAAATATATCCACAATGAAAACCTTAACTAAAACAAAGCTTCCAAAGTAGAATTCTTCGAATTACTTACATCTTGAATGTTATAAGATAAAAATGATCCGAAGGAGTCAAGTGTGAGAAAGGTGAGCTCACAGAAGGGGCATGATGGTGCAGATTGTTCTGAGTGCTGACTAAATGGACCTAGAGGGCTCTACAGAGGAAGAACTAACTTACTTTATTAGGGACCAGAGCTTTTTGCTTGGTTTGATTTACATTCCAGTGTTAATCTGAAATCTCTCTCTCGCCTTAGTGTAAAACACAGCACAGTAGGTGCTCAATAAATATTTGCTGGACAAATCAGTTACCGTCAGCATAGGCTAACCTCCATTCTTGAATCAGTGCTGCTATTCAACTAGTGTTGAATAAATGTTAAGATACAGTATAGGGACTAACAAGTCAATGATGTGCAAGGATCAGAAACAGGGTAGCAGAAAATAATAATTATCATTTGTTAAATCTACCAACATTCAGGGTGGTTCAGCATGTGCTATTTTCCAAACTATATGATGCCACTGAAGATTTTCTCTGGCAAAATCATCTCATGGAGGTTAGAGAGTTGGCTCAGTGGTCAACAGCACTTACTGCTCTTGTGGAGGGCTTGGCCTTGGCTCCCAGCAACCACATGGTGGCTACTAACCATCTGTACTTCCAGTTCCCAATGATTCAACGCCCTCTTTTGGCCTTTGTAGGCACTGCATGCATGTGGGGCACAGACAGACATGCAGGCAAAACACCCAGACACAGAAAGTAGAATAAAAATACATGAATATAAAAAAATAATAAAACCTATATCATGATTATATTTCCCAAGGAACTTTTTCATTTTCAGTGACAAGACAGCGTCTTTACTATAACATAATTTTAGACAATACATGCAAGTATTATATATTCTACTACAGTTTATAGAGTCAACTATAATTTCTTCATATATAGTAAATTGCTGTGATATTGTAGACACAATGATAGGACCTTTATTTGTAGGGAATATAGTGACAAAGAATACATATTTTGGAAGCTAACATGAATGTAGAGCACTCAGCATTAGTACATAACACAGTACGCAGTTCTTTTTTTTTTTTTTGGTAAAACTCTTTTTTAGATACTAAATTCTCATACATATATACAAAGATTTGTTACTAGCCTATTAATTTTGTGTTTGTTTCCCAAGCCAATACCATACTAACTTAAATAATTGATAGTCCTTCCTTTTATGCCACTTCTAATTTTTTTGAGCCAGGGTATCTCTGAGTAGCCCTGGCTGTCCTAGAATTCAACTGTAGATGAGGCTGGTCTCGAACTTGAAGATCTGCCTGCCTTTGCCTACCGATTGCTGGGATTAAAGCTGTGTGCCATTACCACCTGGCACACCACTTCTACCTTTAATTTTAAGTAACATTAATAAATCTGTGCTGACTCCAAATTTTCAATTCATTCTAATTCAGAAAAATGTAAAAGGGTTGGGACAGAGTGGTAGAGCACTTGGGGAGAATGACATACTTTTTTATTTGGCTTTTCAAGACAGGGTTTCTCAGTGTAACAGCCCTGGCTGTCCTGGAACTCACTATGTAGACCAGGCTGGCCTCGAACTCACAGAGATCCATCTGCCTCTGCCTCTCAGGTGCTGGGATTAAAGGCATGCGCCATCACCACCCAGCAAGAATGACACTTTATGATTAATATTTACGGTTCACAAAGTTTCCATTTACTTATATCTTTTTGGCTTTTTCCAGGAACATTAAGCATAATAATTATTTGAAGTGCTGGAGTTTGAACCCAGGTCCTCACATGCATGCACTCTACAACGGACCAGCCCTCAGCATAATGATTTTAAGGTTGATTCATGATGTGGTCTGTTATCAGTAGTTTGACTTAATTGCTACATAATTTTCATTGATGGACATACCTCAGTACGTTTATCCACTTACCAGTTGATAGATAATTAGGTTCTTTGAGCTTTTTGGCTATTATGATTAATACTTCCATTAATATTCAAGTCTTTCTGTGGGCATATCTTTTCAGTGCTCTTGGAGCGACAGCTAGGAGTGAAATGAATGAGTCATCTGATATATACACATTTAATCTTTTGAGAAAATAATAAATTTGGGGGCTGGAGAGATGGCTCGGTGGTTAAGAATGTTTGTGGCTCTTTCAGAGGACCCAAGTTCAGTTCCTAGCACCTACCTCAGGTAGCTCACAACCACCTGTAACTCCAGCTCCAGGATATGATGCCCTCTTCTGGCCTCCACAGGGATCTGCACACACATGACATATACTCACACAGACACACAGACACACACACACAAATACAAAAATTTGGAAAAAAAAATCTTATGGAAAAAGAAAATGGCAAACCAGATGGAAATGTACCTCACTGGTAAAGCGTTTCCTACTATATGCAAAGCCATGCTTTTTTTGTTTGTTTGATTTGTTTTAAACAATATATAATTTAA